TTGGGGATACTCAAATACTTCCTGGTTTACAAACATTGTCTTCCTGGTTGGTGCTTCAAAGATTTGTCAGACACCTCTGGGCAACCAAAACTTTGAGCAAATGGAGATGTATTTTTCATGAGTTCCAGTGTTTTCCCAACACATATTCAACAAAACAGCCATGACCTGCTCAGAGGAGCTCTGAATCTGTTGTGCAGACAGAAGTCTAAAACAAGGAGTGAAATATTTGTCAAAAATTTGTACAGCAAGTGTCTGAGCACTGACTTTATTTAGCATATAAATGTGCTTGTACATAAACAAATGTAGTCTGATAGCTGCTGCAGATATCCAATATAGTAATTAAATTGAGGGGGCAGTACACAACAACTTGAGATGGGAACAAGAAAATAAATGAGTCAGGTTTTTATTGTGATCAAGACCTAAAACAACCAAATAATCTGTGGGAAAAAAGTCTTGGTCCTTATTATGCTACAGACAGTTCAGCATGAAGAAGTACAGTCTTACTATATTTCTTATATAATTTTTATTCTTTACTTATGTAATTTTGCAAGCAGAAGAGCTGTAAAAATGATAAGCACTATAAGCACAAAATCAAAAAAGTTGAGATATAAGAAGGAACTTTTTTTTCTGCCACAGCTAAACGCTGTTATCAAATGCAAGTTAAGAAATAACTGATACCAATATGCAAGTAGTTGAAAGCATTTTTTCTAGGAAGCCTGTCTTCTACATGGATGCATAGAGCTGCAATATTATTAGTAGTGTTACCTTTCCAGCAGTATTATCTAATCCAACATTAGCATTTGGAAGACATAAGAATGAGGAGTTTTTAATCTCTCCATTTATTCCTGATTTCATGAGACTTAAGCTTTGACATGAGACCTGAGTGAATTCCCTGGACCCTAGGATGTTGCAGAATCTTAGCACGTTAGATCTTGGCACGTCCTGTAGGTTTTTAACTCAAAAACTCTAAAGAACTCCAAGTTCTGTTTCCAGGATTTGAAAACTGATTTCTTATCCATCCTCAGCCCTCTGTCTGCATGGCCTTGTGGCTGCAATTTGCTTTCTCTTTTTCTCTATTCCCCTTTCTACTCTTTAAATCACAAGAAATACTCTTCTCTCTTAAAATATGAATAATTAGTCTAAAATTAAGAACTTCAATGGAAAATAAAAAGAAAAATAAGCTAACAAATCTGATGGTTTACAAAATTTTCCTTAAAATAATGACTAAACTCACAGATCTCTGTAACTGTCAAAAGAAATCACCTGGAAACATACATGTGAGGCCTTAATACATTTTGCATGACCTTGAGTTAATTTCTTCCTTCCTGCCTTCATTTAATTATGTTACACATAAGACTCCTCCTGGCACTTTGTTAACATCTGGATGCCCTTGTTATATATTTCACCCCAAGTCTGTTCATTCTTTTGGACTAAGTGATTATTTCCCTGGAGAAGTTCCTACTCAGTTGAATTTTTCATAATTTCTGTCATTAATTTGTCCTTTCTCAGTAGAAGAAGCATTTTGTTTAACTCTTACAGAAATACAAGAGGAGTATTAATTATCATTAAATGCTTACTAGTAGTACCTAAAAATATAAGCTGTCAAAGAAATAAAAGCTACAGCTTTCTTTGTTAAGAAAGATCAGTAGACAGCAACATTGAACAACATAGTCCTGGGACATACTGTACTGCTTTTTTTCTCCTCAGACTTGAATTAATTCCTGTGGGTTATCCTACCATTTCAATTTATGGAGAGATGAATCTTCTTCTGACTTACTTAAGATCTTTATTCCAATGTAAAGTAAATTTTCTTCCTTCTGCATTCAGAAAGCCATTTCCAAATCAAACTCTATTTGTATGAGCAATGTCATATTTGAAAATATGCAACAGTTATTTTGGACATGGGGACAGAAAAATATTCAAACAGTGTGATAAATGAAGTGTAATCAAGATACTATTTCTCCATAGAAAATACCAGCTGAATTACTCACATCTAATACCATTCGAGACATGACTTTTTAGAAGTCTGAAAGGGATATGCCAGTTTCCCTGATTGTTTAAGTGTTCCAAGTTCTGACATATTTTTAGAAGTCATTTTGTAGGAAAAACATCCTCAATGACTGTATTTCCTTAGACTCCGCAAGAAAATTATATTGGAGCCTGTTGCAGATAGAAACATCCCGCAAAATTGGAGCTACAAAGTCAGTTTGTTCTCAATAGGTTGTCTTTATTCTTTGTCATACAGGATTGTGGAAGCCACTGTGTAAATCAAAGAGTCGATTAAGTACAGAGATTTCCAGGAAAAAAAACTATTTTCCAACCAGTGCTGATGTTTACACTTCATGCAATGCACCTGAAATATTTAAACAAATGAAAAGGAAAGGGAGAAAGCCCAAACATCTCACTGTGAGTGCCTGGAAAAGCACTGTGGCATGTATGTAACTTCAGCTGGTAAGAGTTGATATATTGGGTTATGGAAGCAGTTAAATTTAGAAAAGAAAGAAAGGGGGTTTTTAATGCAAAAGCTTGTCCAGATGTTTTTAAGCCATTTCTTTCAATGTATGAAATAATTCTCAAATGTCCACTGAAGTCAAGCTTCCACTGAACTAGATCAGTGCAGTCTGTTTGTGGACACAAAATGATCCTGCTAAACTGAGCTGTGGCTTGTCACTTGTGGCAGCTGTGGCGCATCTCCAACAGGAAAAGATAGCAGCTACACTCACCAGAGAGGCAACCGAGCTCTCATGGGCCAGCTGGCCATTTCCCAAGCTGTTGGGATGTTTGTAGTTGTTTGTCATAACAACAACATTCACACTCTTTGTATTCCTCTTAACAACAGGAAAGTTTCCTTTCATCATTACTGGAAAAATGATGCTGCTCCTAAGCAAAAATGTTACTGTTTCTAGAATAATACATTGTCTTCTCTTTCCTCCATCAGATTATACTTACACAGATTCTCATATTAAATCCTTTCATAATAGAGTTTTCCCTATTAGACTTCCCGTAGCACTTATATGAACGTTACATAATTCGAGAGGGAGGAAGAAGCTGTTTGTTTTGCTCATTTACAAAATGGTGGACCTCTTTTGCAAATTGTGGTGGATGTTGCAAAATAGTTTGACAGCAGCTGGTCCTGCTATTGTGATAGACTGATGAGAATACTTGACCCAAGTTCCTGTCAATTAAATCCCCAAAAGCTGACTATCACCTAAAATAAATATTTTCTTATACCTGTTCTAAAAATCAGCAGCGAAATAAGCAACCCTAGTCTAAAATGAAGTTTTGAATTAAAAAAAAAAAGTTATTTTCTGACCTAACAGAATTAAGTGACAAGATTTTTTTTTGGAATGGCTTATTAATAAACTGGAGTTTTTTTAAGCAGGATTGAGCTGTACCATAAAACTACCCCTTCCATTAAATTATCTCCTCATATAAATTAAAAAGTCTTCACTGTAGTCAAATTAGGCATGTATCCATTCAACTCACTTTTCTTCTTACTCATACACCGTTGCAGATTGGATTTTTCTAAGTAGAAGAGAAACAAGAGAAATGAGCAGAGGATTAGCTAACTTCCCAATATACCTGTTTGTAGGGAAGATAAATCATCCATGGATTCGAATGAATGTACAAGTGTAATTGCACTCATACTATTCAATTGCACTTCAATAAAATAGCAAAATGCATCTGAGAAATGTTCAAAACTTGTGTGCATCACAATGGCTGCATATGGTACGTGAGAACAATAATAATACTGAAACATCACAAAGCACAGAGTAGGCTAGACAAGATAGCTTTCACTTGAATTTAATGAGGCAGTAGTTATAATGAGACAAAAATTAAATCACAGCTTACTGAAATTATCCATTCTGAAAAGACTGTTAATGCCACAATGAGTGTCTGAGTTTCAGCTGTTTGAGATGATACAGCATGCTCCACTGTTTGATTCTAAAAATGGTAGAAAAAGGCTAAAGCCATTTTATACTGTCAAATATATACCAAAGGCAGAGAATAATTACTTTTATATATAGATACCTCAGCAACTCTCAAAAGGTACAGTGCTTCATTCATAGCAAGAACAAGACTGAGGCACTGAAAAGTTACAGCTCCAGAACTAAACACTTTACCTCTGTGAGTAAGCTCGTTCACCTAAATGTGGACTGTTGGTGTTGAGACCCGGAAGTCTACCAGTATTGTACTAGAAAAATATATTCCAATTACTTCACAATAATGAACTGAGTGAGAATCCTAATCAAAACAGGGCTAAGATTTCCTTTCATAAGGATTAATAATATTGCATCACTAATGATGATTTTGTATTCAAAATTATTTCATGCCAGCGCAAAATCTTTGGAGGGGGAGAAATAAAAGTATCCATTTTATTGTCTTATCCATACTCTGTCATCTGTTATCTCATACAAAGATATCTGCCAATCAATTTTTAAGAACTGTTGAAGCAATCCCGTGCCACCTCTGCCACATGTTCCTCTTCCCATTGTTGAGTGACTATTAGTAATTAATTACAACCTACTGTCATGAATCTGCTTTTTCCTCTGCTCTGATCTTTTAGCATGAGTTTGTGGCTTGACATGGATTAAGCAGTTCAGATGCCACCCTACAGGAATCCTAAAAAGGCAAAGCAGGGCTACTCACTACGGGCTGTGGCACCACTGGAGACCCAGGGATTACACAGATCACTGTGGATCCACCATCTGATGTCACTTGTCCTTTTGCTGTTCAGATGAGATGATGAGGGAACTCCTTGTTCCTACAGTCAGTTCTACAGCTTGCATCAGACAGGAGCCCTGCCAGGGCTGGTCTCCCAAGGTCATGCTGGTTGACCCATGCAGGCTGGGAGAGGATTTAGGATCACTTATTGCAAACCCATTGTTGTTAGCATTCTTACACACCATTGGAAGGGAACTATCACCCCTCAAATCTAGCCATGTGGCCAGATATAACATAATTTAGTAAGACAATAAATATGGATACCTGTTGATTTGGGGCAGATGGTAGGAGTCATGGGAGTAGCTATACAAATCTTACAGTTTCAAGTATTAAGACAAATCTTGAAAATTTCCATTTTCATAATGGTAAGAAGTCTGTTCCTCGATGTCTTGAGTGACTTGCTTTTTCTTCCTCCATTCCCTTCTCTGTACTTCACTGTTTTGACTGGTAGCACCATACGTTTTCTTTGGACTTACAAAAGTTTCATTGTTCATCTCTGTTTCTTCAGCCAGTTCATCCTGATCAATTATGCCACATTTCTCTTCACTGAGGTTTTCGGGGTCAGCCCATTCCTGCTTCTCCCCAGAAGCAAAGATAGCATAGAATATCACACCACTGTAATGCACCAGGGCTGCAATCAGAAAGACGTTCTGCCATTCTTCACGGGTCTGAAAGAATGGTGCAGGTCTCATTAAGTTTCCAGTAACAAGAAATATTGCTGTGTGAATTAGGCCATGAATTAGCACATATTGAGGAATGACTGTGATCACTGTTTGATTCCTGATGCTGAAGATAGAACAATTTATGAGAATCATTGTAAAGATTAATTTTTTTATAACTATAGCAAATACAATAAAACTTGGGCTTTTTTGTTGTTTTTTTTTTCTCCCAGAGAAGTTTCTCTTTTGCATGTGAAATATTTATAGATTTGGAAATGCAGGGATTTCTCTAACAACTACATAATATTATTGCAGATCAATGTTTGCTTAGGAACCCTACTGAGGGGGTACACATGCATTGTAGAGGAGTTTTCCAAGTCCTATGAGCATTGCACAGTTGTACGGAGATATTGCAGAGACTTAGGCTCAGGTGGCATTAAATAATATCTGCCTACACAGATAATTAGTTATAATAGCTGAGAATTAGGCCAAAGTGGAATTTTAAAAAATGCATGTTTAAGACAAACAAAAAGCAGCTGCAGAGATCAGTGATGGAATGGCATCCCCAGGAATCTTTGAAATGCCTTAAATTTGTTGCATTAGCTAACCCTTTTTCTAGAAAACATGGAGAAATGTTACCTTGTGTTTTGTCATTGCACCAACAATGAGCGGGCACACCATTCCTGACAGCGTCCCCACGCCGTTGGAGATCCCCATCAGAATGCTGGCATAACGAGGGGCTATGTCCAAGTGATTCACATTGAACCCTACAAAAAATGAGAGAAACAGTCAGCTGTACAGCATTGCACTACCAGGCCAACAGGGCTTTCTACAGCCATTCTGGCTGAAGAAGACAGAAAAGGCTATTAACCTCCTTACTACACAGCTGAAGACTATGTTGTATAGAAAATAAAGTTTTGTTTGGCCCTGTTTAAAGTGTCTGTACTTTCCATTTTTTCATACTGAAAGAGTGAACTTGGAAAATATTTTTAATTAAGGAATCAATGCCTCAAATTAGTGAATTGTCTTCTATCTTTTTATTTTTGTGGTAGTGTTTATAATCCATTTCTTTCGGTGTTTTAAGTAGCAGTTTAACAACATGAAAAAAAATGGAATATAAACCAGTAGGAAAAAATAATTATCCTTACTCTAGTGTGTCTTCTGAGCATGTATTTTATTAAAATATAGAAACAAATACTAAATATCAGCTCAGATAATTATCATTCCTTAGGTAATGAAAATTAGTCATATTAACTATGGCTGATCACAAGAAGTGACAATTAATTCCAAGGACATGGTAATAAATAAGGTAAGAAGTAGACTACTGGGAAAATCCTGCAATAAAAGCTGATTGATAGAAATGGCCCGCTATGCAAGGACCTCATAACTGAGCAGCAAAACTGCTTCCCATCTGCAGAATCCTGAAATAACTGAAGACCAGAAGTTACTTTGCTGGTCAATTTTGTTCAATAGATCCATATTCTTGGCAGTCTTCTTGGAAGATCTTCAATCTTCTTAAGAAAAATCTTTAGTCTTCATAACAAAAGTGTTTTTTACCAGTGATGCTGGTACTGATGATGGCACAAAACAGCTTGAGACTGCAAAACGTGGGTGAGACTCATGAAAGTGCTAGAAACAACTTCAGAAGAAGGGCTGATTGTAGGATGCAACAGAGGGAGGGCTGACATAGAAAGCAGAAACTGGGTGATAGGGCTGGGGACAGGATTGTAACTGATAGCCCTTGTGCAATATTCGCTTCAGAGTAATTCTCTCTCTCTCTTTCCTTTTAGGCATACAGTTAAATGGGATGAAAAGGTGACTGACTGTAAAAGTATATTAGAAAATAACAGCAGAAAGCTGGTGTGAACTGGAATCAATAAAGAGCAGGTTCTTTTCAAAGCTTCATGTCCTGTGTGCAACATGTTTCATAGATACTGAAGTAAATTAGTTCTGATATGGGAAGAAATAACGAACACCCCATAAGCTGCCATGTTAAGAGCAAACAAAATAATAGAAATTATGACAGTAAGAACACTGAGGATACTAACATCACTTTTATCATGAATAATAAAAGAATAGGATTAATTCTTACCTGAAATTGCAAAGCCGCTGAAGCCTACTGCTAACACCAGAAAGGAAATAGCCACACCTTTTGTGTGAGAATAACCAACCACCAAAAGCAAGGTTGCTTCCATCCCAAAGCCTTCAAATGAAACATATGAGAATGAATTACATTTAAATTTCCAGTTGCCATGAAAATACTAATAAGCACTATCCAGAATAGCAGCTTAAAATGAAAGAAAATTATTTTGCATCTTTTAGCTATTCTTGAACACACATAGGAGCTTTGTGCATTTGCAGAAATATTTGTATATTCATTATTTGAGAATATATTATTTTTTTCTCCTCATTCACTACTGTATAAATGACCCAAGCAGTGGGTAAAGTCAATTCACTGAGCAACAGAGGAAAACAATGAGATAGTGACCCTGTGCAAAAGCCAGAAAAAATTCACAAACACAAACATTATCGGGAAAGGTGAAAAACACTTGCCTTTGATTTCTCGTGATTACAGTGGTGTCAGGTATTCTTGGTAAATGGAACAAAAAAAGGTTTTACACACAACTGTGATACCAACACAACAGGACATCCCTAAGAATCACAGGGAACTTCCATTACTGGAAATTAGCATTTTTTAATATGCACCATCACAATCCTTCTGTTTTGTTTTGTTTTGATCTAATGACACTATTAATATACCCTGAAAATGCAAGGAATTTGATCATCCTTTCTGAAGATGAATAGCCAAGTTATGTGGTATCACTGGCTGCAGGCATCTCTATTTCTAGGAGCCCGTGCCATATATAAATAATGCAAGTCAGCAATTGGCAGTGGGCAACAAACGGCTCCACAGGCTGCCAGGCTTGAAATCTTTTCTCTAATATCAGCCCTACATGTCACTGATTTTTCAGTTCAGTGACTGAACTGGAAACAATTTTTTTTGTGCTGAGTTAAAATTGTCCTGTGTATCCGTCACTTTTTACCCCTCACCCTAAACCTTTTAGCCTAAATTTGTCAGTGGGTTCTGCTGGAAGTAGCAAATGGGAACATGGCCAGTTACTTCAAAAATGTATCCACTGGGAAAGGGTCTATCCAGAACCATGGTACAGGGTTAACTTTGTCTGTATGAGTTTGCAGGATGAGGCCTATTTGATTATACTATGCTATTACCCATTCAATTATTAACCAGGCTTCTTGTCTCCTCCCTTTTTAAAGCATGCTCTTATGAGTAAGGATTTATGTCATGAGGCACCAGCTCTTCAATTAATGCTTCAGATTGACCAGTTGCAAATGCAATCCTGAGTAAATTGTCTCTTGTTGCAATTAAACATGGGCGAAACTATGACACTTGCATCGACTGCAGCACACAATTGAAATGTCATATTTTCAGAATCCAATAGTACCTCCACAGTTCATGACCTTCCTTACAGTGGTAGTGGTTAAGATCTTCCTGCTCCGTAAGAAGTCAGCTAGCTGCCCTCCGATGGGCACAATGATTGTCATGACCATGTGAGGAACTGCTGACAAAAGGCCAACCTGCAATCAGAAAAATGAGTGCTTAATAGTCATTTCTCCTTCCAGATTCAGGGGCAAGAGAACAGGAACCATAATGTTTCTTCACCTCTTTTTCCCTGCATCATTTTATCTGATTACAGCAGATGCTCAGAACTAGGTGAGGAAAGAAACATCTCCTGGTGGCCCAGGAGAAGAAACCAGAGCACAAGTGAGAATCTCGCCTTAGAGATGCCATGCAATATCCCTAGTACTCATGGTTACTCCAAAGAGTTGCACAGAAGACTGTTTATATGAAATTCTATCGTAGACATCACAAAGCCCTGCCACACATGTCCTGATACTGGAGTGCTCTGTCTTGGTTTTCCACTGCATTTATATATTTTTTGTTATTGATCTTCATAAGGACCTCCTTCTTGGATAACAAATCAATCCCTGTTACCTGCCTCTGTGTAAAGGAAGGGAGCACCTGCACATTGCATAGGGACTGAAGACCATACAGCATAAAGCCTGACATAATGATATAATTTTACAAATTATTAAATAATCATATATGTAAAAACATTAGTTTATTTTTATTCTTGTGGGATTACAGCCTACAAACTGATGTTCATCTTCTTTTCATTTTCACACAACCCCAGAATGGTTGAGGTTGAAGGAACCTCCCTCTGCTCCCTCTGGATGGCCTAGAGAATGTTGCCCAGAAATGTGTCCAGGCAGTTTCTGAGTATCTCCAGGGATAGAGATTCTACAACCATTCTGGGGAACCTGTTCCAGTATACAGTCATCCTCATAGTGAAAAAGTGTTTCCTCATGTTCAGAAGGAACCTCACACGCTACAGTTCGTGCCCAGGGCACTACTGAAAAGAGCCTATTTTCACCTTCTTTTACACTCTCCCTTCAGATATTTGTACATATGAATGAGAATTCTGCTGAGCCTTCTCCAGGCTAAACAGACCCAGCTCTCAGCCTTTTCTCACAGGAGAAATATTTCCATTCCTTCTTGGTGCTTCATTACACTCTCTCCATTGTGTCCATGTCTCTCTAATACTGTGGAGCCCAGAACTGGACACAGTACTTCAGGTGTTCCCTCACCAGTGTTGTGTAGAGGGGAAAGATCACCTCCTTTTAGCTGGTGGTCTTTGCATGATGCAGCCCAGGATACTTTACTGCAAGGACACACTGCTGGCTCACGTCCAGCCTGGTATTCAGCAGGACCCCCAGGTCCTTTTCTGCTAATCTGCTTTCCAGCTGGGCAGATCCCAGCAGGTACTGCTGGGCTTGCTCCTCCCCAGGTGCAGGACTTTATGGTTTCCCTTACTGGGCTCCATGAGGCTCCTGTCAGCCTGCTTCACCAGCCTGCTGGGGCTCCTCTGTACAGCAGCACAACCCTGCAGTCTATCAGCCACTGCTCCTAGCTCGGCATCATCTGCAAACCAGTGATCTGCTGCATCATCCGGGTCACTAATGAAGATGTCAAATAGGATCAGACTCAGTATTCTGCCCTGAGGCAGAATTTTAGTGATCAGCATGTCATCTTCTAGAAGCTTTTCTTTGAAGCAGTAATTTAGTGAGATGTTTTGGGTTTGCTTTCTGTGGTGTGCAACCTTGTTACATTGACAGTCGGTTTTACACTAGGTTTAAATTAGTGAGGTTCACGGAGATGCAGCTCTAGCATTTATGAAAAGCAGCTCAGAATAAATAGATTTAGTTTTTTCTTAATATCCCTCTTTTCCATCTCCATGCTGTACTTGGCCATTTAGAGTGTCATTGCTACCAAGCCACAACCATTGCTTCTCCTGCAGAACCTGGGCACACAGTGCTCCCAAAATAGATAAATAATGATGTTCTTTGTTATCAGCCTTAGACTTGCTTGAAAATAACTACCACATAGAAAGTATGTATGCTAAACAAAAGAGTTTTTAAAGCTTTTCTAAAACAATTGTTCTGTATTCCTCATTCATGCTCCAAATAGGGAGTGTAACAATTCTGATTCTAATGAAATGATGGTGGCACGGAATATAAATCTGTAAAGAATTCAATCTTCATCGTTAATGAAAAGTCACCAAAATCAAGAAGAGGATAAAAATTACCTGGTTAAATGCTAAACAGACAACACCAAGCAAAATGTGCATTTCTATTTACTTAGTGTTTTTTCATTATATGTGGGGGCTTTTAATCAACTATTTCCCAAAATAACTTCTTCATTCTTTCCTTTTTCTAATAATATGATGCTTGCATACTTTTATTTCTACCAGGTCAGCAGAAGTATGTCATCCCAAATACTGGGAATAATCTACTGTAATGATTTCAGGTCTACCTGCTTCTCCTCAAACAACCATAGCACTAAGTGCCATGTCCAGTTATCTCTTGAACATCTCCAGATATGATGTTCACCTCCTCTCTGGGCAGACCATTCCAATATTTAGCCACCCCTTCAGTGAAGAAATTCTTCCTGATATTCAACCTGAACCTCCCCTGCTGTATCTCCTAGGTCAGTGCTTATTTTCAGACATTTACCTTGCTTATTGCAAATCCAAAGACTTCTTCAAAGTAAGCAGGCTGACTTATAAGGAGCAAATAGAAGGTCCAGCTTCTGCAGAAATTTGCCACAATGATTGCGTAAACTGGCATTGAAGTGAAAAATCTCTTCCAGGGAGTACTAAATTTCTAGGGGGAAAAAACCACACAAAATTGGGTAGACAGAGGCAAAATAAAGAACCAGCATCTTTTACTACCAAGCCTGTTAGGTACATTGCATACAACTTACATCGCAGGCCACTTAAAATGCAAGTGAGATATATCTCTTGAATTACTGGCAAAAAAGAGGTAGAGAAATTTTCTTGGAACAGTTAGGATTTTTAAGATGGATACTGCAATACTGTTGCCCTGATTACTGAAATTACATGAGGTCTTCTGGAATCCTGCTATTGGAATAATGGGATCAGTAAAAGAATCAAAGAAAACTAGAGAAAACTTTGTGCCATTCCCCACTTTCTGCCATGATGCAGTTTAAGACATTATTTTGAAAGGAGTGGGAAAAAAGGGTTGTCCAAGCTAAGACACATGCAGTAGAGCAGCAACAAGTAGCTACCTGCTTCAACCTCATTAATTTAATTCAGAAAACAAAGGCCTGTGGTACAGAATTTAATTTCTGCAACTTGCTCTTTTTGCCATTTTTTTAAAAAAAATTATTATTATGCTCCAATACTCCATACAGCAGGAAACATACTTCAGAGACCTATTGATTTCTATAGAATTCCACTCAGAAGCTGAAACTTGTAGCTATGGCAATACACATTGATATTCTCTTTCTTTAAAAAAAAAAAAGTTAATTTTGTTCTACAGGCTATGTTTTGCCTGCAGTTGTGTGTGCACCCATGAAGCTGGTACCAGCTTCCTCTGCAATGAAAATCGATGACATGGAACAAGTGTGTGTGTGTCTCCAGCCAAGACCTGATCAGCCAAATTTCAGATGCATACCCAAAAAGACAGTCTGGTATTTTACATTCCTAGCAAGGCATGCAGAGGAACAAAACATGTAGAGGAAAGAACTGTAGTTACTTTGTTCCAGAATGTTCAAAACTGAAAGCTCTAAGGACTGACAGTTTTCAAGAAACACCTTTGTTTTTCACTACTGGCAAAAAAAAGTTGCCTAAAGGAATGGAGGAAAGTTTGATGGGAAAATAGTTTTTAACCCAAAGTTTCCAGGATCTTCCAGGATCTTCTCAGAGAGAGGATGAGAAGACTTAGAGGACCTGAGCTGCTGTGAGAGTCAGCAGGGCAGAAACCCAGCCCTAAACTACTAGATTTGCAATCATCCTTAATAGGAGCTCAAGAGGCAGCTGGATAATTTAACAGCTGCAGTCAGATTCTTATGTAGCTAAATCCATGAATATTTTTTAGAACAAGCTTGAGAGTTACGCAAGAGCAGCAGACCAGAATGTGTGTTACCCCCTCCCAACCCATCCCTTCCCTCCATAGATCAGAGAAGCTCCATAAGTCAAGAGCTTAAAAAGCATTACGTGTCTTCCTGTACTCACCCAGTCCAGCTGCAACAGCCTGATTCTGTAATTTTCCTGAAAGGAAAAGCCCCTAGTTCCACCTCACTTAAACAGCTAACAGTATCCATCCAGTCATATGCTCATCTTCTGCAAAGTGCTCACAAATGACAACAAGGAAACAAGGAAAGCCTTTTTTTACTTACACTTGCATTAGCTGGGTTGGCTCCTTCTCCTATACTTGTTTCTATATATGTCCTTTCTTCATTGGTTATTGTTGGATGGGCAGCAGGGCTCTCATAGGCATGAAGCAGCCAAAACACGTACCAAACAATCCCAAACATTCCTGAAGACGCAGGAAAAGCAACTTTGTTTTCAAAGCCAATAAAGCTACACTTCAGTATCTGCAAGCTTTGAGGTTTGTTTAAAATGCTAGTCAAACAAAACCTGCATAGAAATTATGCCCAGGAAAGTAACAAAATATATCAACTAACTCTGTGTGTATTGTATGCCTGCCTGAAAAGCATTTAAGCATTTTGTCACTTTTATTATATTATACATGGGGCAAAGAAAAGGCAGGAGGAAAGCTGTCTGTAGAACCTAGGGAAAGAAAAAAACAGACAGGCCATGATGTGGTTGCAATCTGCATGAAGGGACTTCACCATAAGATGGCAATGGCAAATCTTGTGGTGTGTCTTGTATCTCCAGGGAAGACAGAGAAAACCCAAATGGGCTGCTGATGTGCAAGGCTGGTTGGAGCCACCTCTGCCATGCACTGTGAGGGGAAGAATAAGGCACCAGAGATCAGCCACAGGGCCATACCCAGGGGACCACTTTGTAAAGGTGGCACTGCTTTATTAAAGATGGGCAGCATGGGGAAGATTTCTCAGGGCAGAAGTTTTCAGGTCCCTTTGGCTCCCTGTCAGCAGCATTTGCTGTAACTTTCGCTGTCAGTGTGCACTCTGGGGCAGGTCCCACACAAAGCGTTTGTGCTGCAGAGGAACCTTTGCAACTGCATCCAATCGTGTCACTGGGTGACCATGGGCTGTAGCCTGGTCATTACAATTTTACAACTTTTGTAACAGATGATTATGAAATTAAAGCTCCCAGAATCTGCAGTAAGTAGGGAACAAATTGGAGTACCCCTTTGCAACCTTTTCATTCATCTAAACAACTTTGATCTGTCCTTGTTAGAGAGGTTTTAGTAAACAACTGGCAGTACTGATCTAGTGGCAGATGTCCTTCACGTTTGGCAACTCACCATAAATATAAAAGACTGATGACCATCCTATATACTGTACCAGCACACCTGCCAGGGGCATGGCCACCACCGCACCTGCGTATGACCCTGAAGAGAAAACAGATTAGTCAAACATGTCAGCTGTGGTAGGTGTGCCCAGCTTTCATCCAGACAGGTGCTCATAAGAGCAGAACTGGATGGATGTGTTTGACTTTTTTTATGGACATGGAGAATGGGATGGAAGCTGCAAAATTTTGACTGGGTGACAGGAAGCACTGACCCCTCATGGGTCACCAGTCTCATTTTGCTGAGTTGTGCCCTGTAGGGAAATAGGATTTGCAAATTCAAGACTGATGACAAACGACTACAGAGGCATAAGATATGTGTGTGCAGTTGAGTGGGAAATCCCACCTGGCACTGTGGTGTATGTGGTGGGTTTTGGAGAAGATAATGGAACAAGTTTCAGAAGCTTCATGGAGGAATCCTGATGATATGCAGATATGTTGGGAGGCTCTTGTCGTGGCCCTAGACCCATGGCCACACGAGCACTGGCAGCAGAGAGGGTGCTCAAACCAACCCTGAGTCTGTGTAACCATGTTTAATTCATATTAACAGCATGAACAAACAGGTGGAATAAATAGGCAAATATTGACGGGGATAAAAGAGGATAACAGTGTGGTCTGTGTCAAGGTTTCTGATTGAAAGACACAATACTGGTGAAATATATGGTCTTTTGGAAAGGGATGAGTATTTAAGTGCAATCTAGACAATAGGTTTCAGTGCAAGACAGTGACAATAGCTTTACATGTGAAGATTGTTGCTCTGAATTATTCTAGGAATGAGGTATTTGTGGTTCTGAGAATAGGACATGTTTTGTTAATAAACATTTGTTAATGCTCTACTCATTAGCAAATACTTCTCTGCAATGATTCACAGAGATCCTTCTCCCTCACCTTAATGTAATTCATTTTTCCTACAGCTTTCCTACAGAAAAACCCTAGGCCAGAATGTAGATAGAAGAACCAGGAACCTGCTTAATCTGGATTTTCCTAATTTTTCCATTGCTCCTATGCACCTTTCAAGTGTCAGGATCAGTGATTTGTAGCCACTAAAATGGGTGTCAAACTGAAGGATCCATTGATCTTTCTCTAGAGATCCCACACTAGGAATTTCAAGGAGGGAACATTGAGGGTGGAGAGGCTTTCCTTTGGATCTTGCCTTCTGCAGGAATTGAAAACACCTAAATAATAAAAACCTGAAGCCATCTGTAGTAAAAATAAAATTCCCACAATATATAAACATGGGTCTTTTCCCACTTGCTTCAGTCCTCCTTTTATCCTTTATCTTGTGTTTTAGTGCTGTATTTTCCCCAGCCACACAACTCTAGTTCTGATGGACAGAATTTTTTTTCCTGTGACTTTTACATTTTTACTGAACATTTTCTCCTACTGACATTCATCTTCAGCTGTAAGCATTGGAAAGGGACACAGAAAAGAGAGCAGAGTACATGTCTGATCATAACTCAAAACAGAATGAAGCAGAACAGCTACCGGCAAGAAGTTACATCACCTCCACTGCAGTATATTGAGCAATCAGCCTAAAAGTACTAAAGTCCTTTTCAGATAATTTTAAAGTGAGTGCTTGTTTAGGAGCATCCATTGAGTGTGTATAATAAATGGAGTCCCTAAGGATGAAGCCAATAAAAAAATACAATATAATTTCTCTCATGTGAACCTCTAGACACATTTTAGTTTATTATGAGAGCTATTTTGAGTGTTGGCTTTAAATTATAAAATGACAACATACTAAACAAAAAAGGACTCACAAGTTCCTAGGCTTAGGGTACAAGCTGATTGTAGCAAAGGGCAGAGGGTTTTTGCACTCCTTCAAATAGTGAAATTAATAAAATAAATCTGATAGGGATAGGTGCTTACATAAACCATATAAGCCCATCAACTCACCACAGAACGAAGTGGTAGCCAACCTGCTTCTCTCCAGCGGCGGGGCCCACTTACTCCACATCCCATGGCAGGCTGGGTACGTGACACCCTGGCAGACATTTCACACATCACATGATTTGCTTTCACTGTATTCCATTTGAAGTATCTGCTGATACTATCCCTCCTGCCTAGCTGTTTGTCACCATGGAATGATATAGGAAGGGTTAGGTAAGTGTGGAATAACTCGACTGTTTGGGTATGAAGACGTTAAACTAATCTGAATTGCCTATTACTTGAATAGTAATATGTTCTGAGGTAAAAACACTGTATAGTATATGCAGTTGATGGCACAAGGAAACTAATACAACTCAAATTGCAGCACCAGAAATGTACATTTTTCTTTACTTAAAGAAAACTTAGAAATATAAATCAGTATAATTAAAAAAATATCATCTCAAAATGAGTAGCAAGTGAAACCATATATTGATCAGAAACCCTGATTGAAAGAGATCTTACAACTTCTAGAACCCAATCTCAAAATCAAACTCTGTTTGAAAAAGGACAAAAATGGTGTGTGCTCCTACCTCCACCAAACCTTGAAGAATCCTGACAAACATCACACAGCCATAATGCACTCTTGCTGCAGAAGGGATGATCATGTTCAGTGTAGATGTTAGAAAGATAGCTGCCCCAAATACCCTACGGAGAAATGGCAGACAGGGAATACAATTATTATCTATTCTTCAGAAGTGTTCTCATGTTCCACTTCAAAATATTTATAAACTTATTTAAAAATATTTTGTTATGATTATTTTTCTTTTTTTAAAAAAAAAAAGTATTTAAATTGTTTGCATTTCCATGTCTGAAAATATGTTCACAGGAAATATATGTGACTTCATTTTTGTGTCCAGTCTTATTCATAGTAGGATTAATGGTTGTGTTATAGCATGAAAATTTTCCCGTCAGAGAACAGCACTGTTTTGTCTAAATTCTCTACACCTACTGACAAAAGCAACACCCCATGCCTAGACAACTCGTTATCTGAGTGACAAGAAGGCACTAAACACATGAGCACAAAAGCAAAGAGGCTGAGTAGGCTGGCAGACAGAAGTGACAAAGGAACTGATTTAAATAGAAAAGTCTGAAAATATGAATTGGAATACAAAGCCCACAGTCATATCTTGACATTTAGGAGACTGCTTTAAAAGCCAAGTAAACATTTAACTGAGAAATAAGTATTACTTATCTCTCTGTTGTGATCCCTGAAGAAAAGATTTTTGCCTTTTGATTTCTTACCACTAATAGAAATATCAGATCTGTTATCATAACACTATTGACTTGGGAACTACTGCAAACCATGTGAATTAATAACCATGTGAAAGAAGAAACTGTAACAAAGAGAACTCTTTTAATTATCCAGCTATCTCTAAAGACTGTTTCCAATCTCTGCTACTCCTTTTAATTCCAACTCTTAATATGTCTAGGTTTTAAACGCATAAATTTATACTGAGTTAGAACCACTTTTCTGATACTATTTAAAGGGCTGAGTGTTGTTTCCACAGAGACAGCATCTTTTCATCAATTCACTGCCATTTATCCCAAAGAAGTTGATCTCCACTTTGACAAGAAACATTCCTGATTTTTTTCAATTCAGTCACATATTCTTCTGTCCTCCCTCCCACGATCCCTGGGCAGCTGCCACTTCTGAATCAAAACAGACTACTCCTCTGCCTAGCAGGGTGCTCTTACTGAAAATTGATGTCAAGAGATGCCTCATGTTTCATGCATCTACCAAAAAATACTGAAATCACATTTAGATGTGTGTTTGAGGATAATCAAGAAGTTAAAGTGATGGTGTCAGTAAATGGCTGATGAGCTTTTTGGTGGAATGCAGATCTACATCAATGTGGATGAATGTATTGAGTAAATTACGTAGTGTTAGAGGTTTTTGGTGCAAAACCATAAAGCACTCAGTATTTTCAGTCACTATTAGATCCATCTGAATCCCACACTATTACAGATAATTATGTACATTACAGAAGTGCCTGGGATGGGCCATCCTTACGTATGTTCAGGGTTGCACAGCTTAAACAAGCAGCAAAGGAGTATTTGCCCAAATCTGTAAAGTCAGAAATAGCATAGAATCTCATTTCCAGAGTGCAGCTGGGACAAAAGAAAGATTTTCCTCTTTCTAGGGCTGGTAGGTTCATTGGCCACAGAACACCTGTTTTCCTGCCCTGTGTCTTATCAAATAACCCCTCTGAAACTGAAACTTGGCACCACTGGTGAACCTACCTAAGCAGAAATTGGTTGGGTAAACAAGGAATAAAGGAAAACCGTGGACTTAGTGAATCCCATTACTGCAAATAGAAATTCTCTTTGAGCTCAGCTCTTGAGCCATTTTTGTCCCTCAGCAAATTCTACTCCTAAACCCAGTTATGATGGGCAAATCCATAATGTGATGTTGTAGTATAGCATTAGATTGAGTTGGAAACTCGCATGGGGATAAATGCAGAGCTTTCTGTGCTTGTGCACAGCCTGTACTTAAGGAAACACTTTGCTGACAGAACACATCAAGTTACAGTGCAAACATGGTTGATTTTACTGTTTGCAAGTAAATTAAGGAAACAAAAGCTAAACTAATAATATGCTGAATTATTCAGCCAACAGTATGCACATCTGTGTTTTGGAGCCCTTCTGCTGCAAAAGCTGGTGGCAAGACTGGAAAGGCTGGAGAAGTGATTAAGCTTAGCTAATTTATTTGGCTTACTCGGCAGATGGAGAAACATTCTGCCTAGGCACTGTTACGTGGCAGAGAAATGAATAATTGAGGATGTGAACAGTGCTGAAGAAGTGCAAACCAAACTCTGAGTAACTTTTGCTTATGGACAGAAGAGAGTGGGACTGAACAGTCTGGGCAATTCTATGGGATGACTCTGTTCTGGAGAAATTTCCACAAGGGCATATGGCTGGGAAGAACATCCAGGCAGTCTTGTAACCCCTATAGCTCTTTGCAGAATGCAGAAAACAAAGTACTTTGATCTGAGGCAAAGTACAACATATAACTGGTCTTAAAGATCTTTTCCGATTCTGACACTATTTGTAGATAAGTCACATCTTGTTTGCAGAGACTGAAATTAGTACCAGCCACCTTTTCTTCATTTTAATCTGTAGATCCCAAATATCCTTAATATGCACATCTCATGAGCTCATTCACAACCAGCTGTCTTCAGACAGCTTCCCTCTCTCCCGTGATCATGTTCAAAGCTCTGAAGACCTTTTGAAGTAAAGCCCAAAACCAAAGTTAACATTTGCAAAAATTAGTTACTTTTCTTATTCACATTTTCAAAAGCAGTTGAATTTTAAAAAAATAAGAAAAATTGGATGACAAACACACTGATCATAAAACAAAATCTGTACAAATTCTCAGACTTCACCAAGAAGAAATCAGGAAGCTCTACTAGAAATTCTATACAATCTTAATTACAGTCAGTACTGTATCCAGCCATGGCCAGGATATCTGTGCATGAGGATAGATTTGTGACTTCAGATCATAAATAGTTCTGGGATTCCTTTAGGCCCAGCTTCAGTCCACTGGGAGGAAGACCAAACACTGCCAGAAAACTATTGTTTGGTGTTGAGCTAAAAAGCACTAAGGCAACTTCTTAAAGACAAATGCTTTAACCATAGCTGTTACACACCATTAGGTGTGACTTTCCTTGAACTCTCCAGAAAGCATTATTGTTTAGAGAAGAAATGTGTAAATATTTGAGATGGACAAGTTAAATTGAAAGAATCAGCTCTAGACCCATAATGGAAGTCTTGTCCTCTGAAATAATTTTTGATCACAGACATAAATACTGAATTGTTCAGCTTCAGAAGTGCACTTCTGAAACACATTAATTCACTGTTTTAGTAATTCTCATTTACACAGTGTGAAACGGTTGTCAGGCTCTAAAGCTTAATTCATTTGCTTATTGTTTTCTTACCTGTTAGCAGCCAATTTGTTTGAGATGAACCCTCCTGGAATTTGTGTCACAATGTAACCCCAGAAAAAAGAGCCATGAATGAGTCCTACAGTCTCTGGATCCCAGTTGAACTGGGCTGTCTGCAAAGGAAATGGGACACATGCTGTAAGGTACAACACACTCATTGCAAGGTAACTTCTGCTTAGAAGTCTCACATAGGTCACCTCATGCTCCAAATCAAACCTCTTTACACTGGCTGCTCAGGGTTGCTGAGCTTAAAAACCCCCAGTTAAGGCAAAAGAGTGGTCAATTCTCCTGTGAAGTCACTGCTTTTGCTCTAAGGAGCAGGAAAGGTTTCAGCCATAAGGTAGCTAATGCTGGACCTTCAGTTTTGCCACTTGCCACTGCTTCCCCCTGGGTTCCTTAAACTTGAAGCCTTTGCTTTCAGGACTGCTCAGAGTTGCAAGAAGGACTTGATACCTTTCCACGGACTCATCCATTTTCCCAAGATTATCAAGGTTGTTTAAGTCCTTTGAGTTGATTTGCCTCCTGGTCAGATTTGTTCATGGTTCTCCTCTCAGGGCCGAACTCTGATCGTCTACTATTAGCATTAAATGGCATGGGAGCAGAAAAGAGTTGGGGGCAAGGAGAATATCTGAAGACAAAGCAATCTGAAAATAAAACCAGGTAACACTAGCCAGTGACTAGTTTACCTTTTGTTAGAAGGGCTGGATTTGGATACAGAAGGACAGCCATAGCCTGGTCATAGGTGGCTCCTAGTCAAAAATGCTTGCAGCCAAGAGAAATGCTTTTACCATATACCTCTGCTTTCACTATATACCTCATCCTTGAACACCAAGCAGTTCCAATCCTCTCAAGGTTCTTCCTGAACAAGGATTTTTCTATTTCCTGATGACATTTTTTGACATCTCTTGTTCAGAAGAGGGATGGTCAATGCTAAGGGCAAAACATACAGAAAGTAAAGAGAGGGTGCCCTTTCTGCCCTCCATTGTAAGGTCAATGCTAACTTTTTCTCCATGAGCCCTCAGCTCTGAAGAACTCTGTTGCAGCAATAAGAAACCACAATGTTGTGCTTTATGATCGTTTTCATGCTAATCACATGTCTGGGAATGGTGGCTAAGCATTCTGTGAAGAAGCAGCACAGATATCTTCTAAATTCAAACTGTCACTAAAATACCAAAAAGGATTGTCAACTGTAGTGATAAACCTTAACACCTCTTTTTTTGATATTACTTTCTGCATGTTAAAAGAAAAAGCGTTTTTCCTACTACATTGATTTTTTTGCTCACAAAGAAGCAAACTGAAAAACAATTCATTGCTTGACCTACAGTGTGATGGCATTAATTAGCCAGACATGTTTACAGGAGGCTAAAGGGTTTCCCTCCCTGTCAACATGCATTTTGATGTGTCCCACTTTCCCATGCTGAAGCAGTTCTGTTTAAACAGAATTTAACCTAATTTTCTACTAGTGATTTCCAGATGAGTTTCTAGGTAGTGTTAATTTCTGAAGGCAGAAACACCATGAGATATGGAAAAAGGTTCCTCCTCTTTCAGGAGGTGCTCATGCCCAAACACTATGAATTTAGATTTATGGAAGGAATTTACTCCCATTGTCTGAAATTACCTCTTCTCAGCTTCCCAACCTATGCAGGCACATATTTTCTCTCGCTTAAGTACAGAGCCTGGAAGTCCCAGCAGGACCATGGGGAGGAGGGATTAGATTGAGTAAGTACAAATTCAGCAGAAAGTCTAAACTTGGCTCCTATGATCATGAGTCATGGAGATGGGCATACTTTTAACATTAGAAATTTATGACAGACATCTTCTACACTCTTCTTTACCTAAAGTTAAAATATCTAGGAGAAAAGCTGATGAATATTTGCACAGCATTTCATTCAAGAGTCAAGATTCCTGTGGATTTTTTAGGATGAAAACATTCAAAATGTATCCAAAAATAAGTCTACAAGTAGAGCTAATGTAGAGATTCAAGTTCATAAAATCCGTAAAGGGACACTTGACATCACAGCCAAATACCAAGGGAGGATGGGCAATGCCAAGGTCTGGATTGAATCTGCTGGAGTGCATTGATAAAGCTGTGTAGGATCTGCTGTGGACCACATGCCAACCACTGCAGATTTGAAAATGGCTGGGCACCTAGCTCTTAATAGCTCCAGACAACAATCCAGATTGTCAAAAACCTGATGCCTTATTGCCAGTGAGTGCTTTAAGATCTTGGAAACTATCCACTGATATGAATGTAATGGCTGCAGCCCTAGATAAAACAATTGATCATTCTTTCTGCACCAGCATCAGAGCGCATTTCCCTGAGAGAGAGTAGAAAGCAAAAGATTCTGCCACCACAGCAAAATCTGTCTACAACTCACAGATCAGGGACCTGGGAGACATGCAAACTAATTCAGTTCTCATTTCTGGTACTTATAGCCTCTCTATGACACTGCAAATCCTCAGATCTTAAAGATTTTTAATGTGGCTTCATCACATATGTAGGAATTAAGTGCCTGCACATCTACGTGCATCAGGACTGATGTGTGCCCCTCCTTCTCTTTTTTTAATCTGAGTACGCACAGGAATTCGCTATGTGGCATTTGGGTGATTTTGCAACGGGATCTGCTCAGAGGAGAGAGAAAAAAGAGTGTTTTCTTACCCGCAGCTCTGGCTTTCCATTGACATAGACAGTGTTGTTGTTGACCATCTCCACGATGGCCACGCCCAGGTTGCACCTGATGCCGAAGGAGATGCAGAAGCCCAGGCCGCTCATGATGGCGATGATGTAGCGCTTGGGCAGGCCACAGCAGTAGCACTCGCACAGCTCTGGCCGGCGGCTGCTGGCCGGCACAGGCCGCCCCTCCGCCGTCAGCTCAAGGGGCTCCTCCTCCACGTTGGTGCCATCAATCTTCCTAAACAGACGGACAAAGAAAAAATGAAGGTGCCCTGTTGTCTCAGTAAAATTTGCTGAAAGATGGACGGACAGTTCCGTGCTCCACAACATGCTAACTCCTGTTGTGAGGTGCTTGTCTCCTGGTAGTGAGGTGAGTTAATGCTGGACAGGCTCTGAAAGGCTAGCAGAGACTACACTTTTCCCCAAATGACTTCTGAATATTGCACATCTGAGCCATCTAGCCAGACAGCCAGCTGCAAAAGTGTTCACAAGCTACTCGTGAGCATATCTGAGATATAACTGGAGGTCTGTTGTGATAAAGTCCATTGATTGTTAGGAAAATTTATGTATGATTAAATTAACCATAATTTCTAACTAGATCTACTAAGCAGAGCTGCCAGTAGATTTCAAGAGAAAAGGGCAAATACAACACAAAGCATGGCTTCACTCAGCCCCAAATTCCTTGGCATTTGTTTTCTCCCATGAGACAAAAATCAGGGCTGTACAGCAGAGGAGAAAAGTCCCTGGCATCAGGTCCCTGTTAAAAACGCAAAAGAGACAGGCCCAGACTTTCTCTGCCTGAAGGCATTTGAAGTCACACGTTCCCTCTTCTCTGAAATATCCTGCCCCTACAAGGACTTCATTTTCTCCAAAGTGAACCCCTGCAACTCCTATTGTGGAATGTGTTGCCCTTTGTGTAAAATACTCACTATGAAATGAGATCTGAAGGCAGACAGGGTTTTCTGGACACTAGATTCACCATTCCTCAGCAGCAGAGGCTGAAAGGGCTTTGCCTGGGATCAAATTTGATGTGGCAACCACAGTGCAGCTGGGAAGAACTGGGAGGGAGGGTGCCAGGGATGGGGCCTGAATGGGAGCAAATGGCACCCAGTTATATCGGCCTGTGACAGGCTGCCCAACTAACGCAGGAGTGCAGCTCCTCAGGCTTTGCATATCCAGTGTTCCTTTTTCCTACAGGCAATCTAGCTGAGATACTCATATTAAACAAAATGGCACTTCCATGCAATCTGGAATTACATGACAGTGCAATTAAAATTTAATTTGGTCTCTCAATCTGATTGCAGCTATTAACATTGTGCTGCAGGACCAGGCAAAGTCTGTGGTAGGAAGGGTGAGGTAAGAAAGAACTAGACACACCCCACCAGACCTGAGCTAGACAATTCCTTTTCTAGCATTACCTTTCTAGGCCTATTCTGAAACACGGATTATGGTTTTCCTGACATGCTGAAACACTTAAGGACATGGCTAGCTGTGAATATGTGACAAACCCACTGAACACTAACCATGAGCTTAAGGTTAAGCCTTTACTAAGGGAGGCCTTGAACAGCAGCTTTTCAATTTTGGCATTGCTCTGAAGCACTGAGCTCAGGATTAGTGAGCTCTTTTTGTGTCTTCCATGGAGTACTTTGAAAATATGAACAGTTAATTAATCTAAAGGAAGCCTAGCTTGCCATGTAAAATGATGAAACTATTTCATTCACTCTTTTCTGATAAGGAATAACTTATTTCCTACTTTCATACATCTGGCTGAGTGTATTTGAAATCTAATGTATGTATTTGAAATATATTTAAAACCTCAGTTTTCAGTATGAAAATCAACTGTAAACAAATGCTGACAGAGCATACATGGATGGGCTACATCTGACTGGGTTGGGTTTTTTGGGAGCTCACAGCTTTCCCCAGTTGCTGTAAGTTTTATGTACTACCCCTAATCTAACAGATAGTACTCTACTCTAGACAGTTTGCATATACAGGTGGTAAGTATGGCTTCTTGTGCACTTAAATATATCTTTCCAATATAAAGTTCCACTTAAAAATCTCATAATATTATGCTCTAGAGCTAACTGGAGCATCATTTACTATATTATTCCTTTTTACATCACAATATAAACCATAGTCTTAGAAAAAAAACAAAATAAGCATGCTGCAGTCCATCAGCTCATGTTTTCAAGAAACACTAGAATCACAATGTTTTGGGCCAGAAAAACTGCTGGCATTATTTTGTTCAATTCTTTTCTCAAACCAGTGCTCACTGCAGTTAGATCCTTAGCTCATTGTCAGACTGGAGCTAAGTTTGCTTCCATTCAAGCAAACTAACACAGAAAATGTGATCTTAACTGTGGTGTTATTGGGAGTGATTGAGATCTTATGGTTCACCCACCGGGAAACAGCATTTGTTAGTGAAATGGGACTACAGAGACTAATTCAGTCAGGCACTTTAAAAAGAAGACACCATATATTCCATGCTCTATGTGTTAATAGAGGTAGGTGTAAACAGAATGAGACACTAAAATAAAGACCTCAGGAAGTGATAAAACAACTGAATAATTCTTTTTTAGAACTGTTGTCATCTCCCAGGTGTCATTAACAAGCCAAAAGAAATAATTTGTCATCCTCTGACAGAACATAATATATTGATGGAATTAAATCAATTAACAATTTTCAAAATATTTGCACCTTTACCAGGCTCTATTTATAAGAGAGACATTAGACTTTAATGGGTACATTATTTTGGGCAGCTGGCAAAGATTAGACACTTCATGCAAAGCCAAAACATCTGGACGTTTTCAGCTGGCTGTCAATTCAGATTGGCATGAAAACATCCTTCTGCTCCAAATTCAGTGCTAAAAGTGATGACCTGGGACTAGAACTATGGACTAATATTATCTCTGCAGAGAAATTAATTATTCTGCCATTGTACTTGACTAAGTAAAGGAAGGAAGTTGAGAACTGATCCATCACCCCAAGTCCATACATTTTAACCCCCAGAGATTAATTTAAATTTTAATTTCCCTTTATACCAGGTTTGTCTTGAGAAAACTATTTTTTAGTAGCAGTCCAAACATGTAGGTGTTAGAGCAGTGCAGACATTCACACAGCCAGTGTCTGCACTGGTCTTTTAGTTTTATTGAACAGGTACATAATGAAGATATGGCAACTCCATGAAATGATGAGAAATTTATTTTCCAATTGATCCATGTACTTTTGTAGTGTCAGTGAAAATTTTTACTAGTTGTAGACCAATGACTTAGAAGAAAACTGCTTCAGGGCCAGTGCTCTACTCTAATTATCAGCCTCATGAAAGAGATGCAGGCGTGAATTTTCCTGCACAGGAAATGTTCATTCCTTAAATCTGTTTTTCCTTTTTTCAGCTAATGTACAACACTTGGCAAGTAAGAAGAGCTAAGTTATTTGAATATGCATCCATATTCTGTGCCCAAAGGTCATAATAACTTTATGTAAAATTTCTCTTTTTTTATCAAATGCCTACACTGGCATATACAGAATTTTGAAAGAATGAAAAAAATTTTAAAAATCCCTATCAGTAATAAATAAAATCCCTAGAGCACATATACATTCAGCATTCTGTATTTAAGGGGGTTTTAGCAGAGCAATTAGTTCTTTATTAATGGCAAATTAGGTGTATTACAATTTAATTTCATTTTATTAAAAACTCATTGATTCTACAGTAACAGGAAAATATTAATATTTTTTGTGTTAAAACACATTCTAGAATGGATTTCACCAGTCTTTCTCAGGCAGCTGGAGCACAATCATACTCAATGTTCAAAGCTCACACCTACAAATCCAGTAACCACAATGATCCCTGCGTAACTCCAGAAACCTATACAGTAATTATAAAAAAAATGATAAATCCAAGAGTAGATACAATCTCCTAAGATCTTATTAATTCTTCAGGGATTTGTCCAGGTGATAATTTCCCATTTATTTGATGCATTGGTAGAAAATCCCAGCACAAATGTCCCAGCTCTCGTGAGTTCCTCAGGGCATGGGAGCTCTCTGGCTGGTTCCTGCAGGGTGTTTACACGGAGCCCAAGTCAGGTCTCAGGCACGGAGGCACTGCGTGTACCAGGGGCTGCAGGGCAGTCCCTCCTCAGCTCACCCAGGGAGCACTGGAGGGGTGTTTGCCCTGGGGTGCTGCAGTGCAGCGCTGCACAGGTGCACGGTGCCCTTGCATGAGCGGTGGCGCAAAGGCACGGCTGGTACATCGGCTGGCCCTGGACACCCCACGCTGCGCTCACAGCACTGCACGGCCTGGGAGGCACTAAGCTCTCCACTTGTGTGCAAAGGGAAAATCTGAGAGGGATAGCTCCATGATCCAGCACACTCAGAGGAGCCCTGTCCAATGCAAGCATCTATCACCCAGCTTCAAGATGTAATTATGAGCAATTTAGGCTAATTTACCAAGGGACATCTACGGCATCCACTACACTTCATACAGCAGCCACGTGGCATGGCCCATATGTAAAAATGTCTTTTTACATTAAAAGCGACAATTCTGGGCTGTAAACCCACTTACACACTTCCCACTTCATCAGGAAGCCCACAGCTGCCGTTAGCTGGTCCAGGACTCCTGAAATCCTTATAGTAGGCAAAACCTAAGATCTTACTTCAGTCTTTGACTTTTTCCTTGACTGCAGAAGGACCAAAGTGTTTGTGTGTGTCAAGAAGATCTGCATGAACTCTTTATTTTCTGAGAAACATAAGGATGCCAGAGACACAACTCTGATATTCATTCACCCAAGCCTTGAATTCTCTAATTTATTTTTTTTTTTACTGATGTACTGTATAAAAATTAACCATAAAACCCCCTTTTGCATTTAAAAAATTATACAAAGCATTTACAACATTTTCTAAAACATCTTCTAAGATCTCACAAATTAAACAGCTGCCAACAGCCTAGAGAGGATGGCTCTTGGGTCTCTCAGTTCAGTCCTCCCTTCCTCCCTTCCAGGATCCACACACCCTAAAGTCACCTCCTGTGAGCAGACTTATTTTTGCAGCACTCACCAAATCTGCACACCTGTGAGGAGGCAGTAAGTTGCTTTATGCTGCTTGTGCTTTAGCACTTGATCTGGACTGGGGACAATGGAGCAGCTGCCCTTGCCAGGCAGCAGCCTCTGGGTCTGCTCTCTTGTTTGCAATGAAAATTATTTAAAATAAATGCCACAGGAAGGCATAAACCAGTCATATTTACCAAAGTGAAAATGTATTTTTCTACCCACTTTGCCAGTTTTGACATCAACACACCACAGTCACTGAAATCACACTTGGAGGTCTAATCAAGGATGTGCATTATAATAATTCATCAAATTATGATGAATACTAGAAGAAAAACCAAATTCTTTGCTGATTTTCGCCACATTAAAGACAATTGGATTGGATGAAGAGCAAAGTCAAGGTTGCAGCTGGAATATAGGTATATGTATGATATACCTATCCTGTTTCCTTCATTTATGGAAACTTCCAAATATGACTGCATATTTCCTACAAGACTGCTCAACTTGCAGTTTAGATCTGACTGCAGACATAGTAAAAAGATCTTATAGTTTAGATTATTTCCTCTGCTGATTGGTACACCTAAGGAAGGCTCTGAGTTACCTATGTTTAAAACAGAAAATTATTAAGTTCAGCAAACTTTCTCATATCTCAAGTGATATTTGGGTTAATTTGATTCAGGAGCAGTGTTGCTGAAGTTGGCTGCCTGTTTTATCAACTATGTAGGAACCAGCATGACATTTTTAATACATGGCTACAAGAGGACAGCAGTCTGGATAATCCAAAGTGAGCCCAGTGTACTGCTACATCACATATTCACTAGAAACAAACCTTACAAGTGTTTGGTCAAATTGGCCAGCAAAGCCCACAGCAAAGAGAATTTATCAATGAATAAATTACTTGAATCAGTGTTCTAAAAGATAAACAGATTTCCAGGAATTACTGTAGAGTGTTGTAAAAGTAAAAAAGAAAAACATCAGGCTTCATCTGTAACATTGTAAATTTAAAAAGTTGGGAAATTGTGTAGAACACAGATAGTCTGTTCACATGATAAAGAAATAGAATAACTGCAGTGTGATAAGTAAATTCTTACACCTTTTCTTGTGATCAAAGGCTTGTTTAGATATACCAAGAACTGTCTCTTTACTCAAAACAGCATTCCCAATACAAGGCGAAGGGGTGGATATGAAAGCAAATACGATTTAGTCACTAGAAACACCTTCAGGTAAAATGCTGGCTTGATCCACAAAAAGATTTAAAACATAACATCAAGCATGAAAGAAATGCCACTAACCCCTCTGGCTCTCATCTACTGATTACACAAATAAGTGTTGTCAGTAGCCATTACTAACAGAAATAATCTTCTATTTAAATGAGAAATATATTTCCCTTTATGAGATTGGTCACCTGTTACATCAGATTTTCATTTCTCTAAAAAGAAAAATGCTTCATTTCTTGGATCATAAAACCATCAGGTTAAGATGAAAATCTTTAATCCTTTTTCTGCTTTTGCTAGCAAACAGATGCTGCTTCTTCTTCTTCTCTCTCTCTAATTTGCTAGTGTCAGTAAACTCACACATACACATCTTTATTCAATACATTTACTGATTTGGAACAAGTTTTTTAAAACCCCAAACCTGTAATTTAGGAGCATTAAGTCTAATTTCAAGAGTGGCATTATTGGGAATGCTAATTCCCATTAAATTATTGCTTTTTTCATGCAAGCTAATCCACAGAATTAGTCATATTTAATTATTTAAAATTTTTTAATTAAACACTTTTTCAAGCTCTTTTTAATATTAAAACATTATTTCACAATCTATTTTCACCTTTTTTTGTTTAATATGAATATTCTATGATCTACAGTCATATGCTGTTGTAACTGCTCCTTTTACATCTGTCTTACAGCAAGCTGTCTCACTCTCTGTACTCGGATATTAATTTTGCAACTCTACATTCTGCTTTATGTTTATACTTTTTTTTTTCTATACTTCATTTCCCTTAATCAATTGAATCGATGGACCTGTCTGGGAATTTTCTGTTGGGTTTTACCTTCTCAGGTTCCCCAGCGAGTCACTAATGGTGTTCTTCACCTCTTCCTTTCCTGGGTTAAAAAATCTTTCTTTCAATGAACCAAGCCCTTTGAAAGGCATTTTGTCTTTCTTCTTCAGTAAATCCCTTATGTTAAGGAGCATTCACTTCTGCTGTCATATTTCCCAGTGCCAGAGTCAGGAGCCTCCACCAGTCCCCTCGGTGACCTCTGCAAAAACAACCAGTTGCTCGAGAAAGGAGCGGGTAAAAAAATAATAATAATAATAAAAAAAAAAAAAAAAAATAGTTGTATTTTGCAAAGCCAGGAAAGAAAAGCTGTGGAGTGAAGCCCCCTCAGAAGCACTCAGGACTCGGCGTGGCCCTTGGAGCCGTGCAGGGAGCTGGTCTGGGGCCGCAGCCGGGAGCTGCAGGTGCTGCCGAGGGTCCCTGGGCAGGACGTGCTGCCTGCTCCACAGGCAAACCTCAGCCTGGCTGGCTGGGGCTCATCCTCGGTGCATCCCTCCCTCCCTCCCTCCCTTCTTCCCTCCCTCCCCTGCCTCTTTCACACCGAGATCCTGTGCAAGGTGGTGCTATAGTAACAGACACAATACCTGTCCTCAAGCCACTCCAGTTCGCTAATAAGACCTCATCTATGGCAAGGGCCAGAAGTTTATTAAATATTTATGAGTCCTTTCTGCAGGGAGGGAATTATTGCAAGCTACAGTTCCCATTCACTGTGTACCCCCCCGCCCAGGGGAGGCCCCCTACCCAACACACTCGCTGGTTTGAACCCAAAGCTGCCTTCCCATGCCTGGTCATTTATTATTGATGTTGCTGGGCCCTTGGGCAGACAGACCAAGAGGAGGGGCATTGGTGCGATGCTGTTTGAATAAGCAGAAGAATACCAGCCATAGATTGGATCCATTGCATTTTTGAAACACAAATGGCTCAAAGAGGTGAACCAGTCCAACTCAGTGTGACTTCATGAAAACAACACACTTTCCATGGCAGAAAGTACTTAATGAAAACTCTTGTGGAAATGCAGCCCACCTCTCCACTCATCATGTCTGCACACTGGCTGGAGTCAAATGAAAAATTTGTGCTTTTGGCAAGGCCTCAGATATTGGAATTAGGTTATGGAAAATTAAAAAAAAAAACGAAAAAAAAAACCCAAACAACACCAAAAAAACCATCCAAAACAAAAAAAAACAAATCAAAGCCACAAATAATTTCATATATTCTCTCCCCTATCATGGAGGCTTTTAGGTGAGGGAGAAGGCAGAAACTCTGTGGATTGTTATAAAAGTGGAGTTTGGTTTTGGTGCATTACCTCACTCCTACAAGGAAAGTTAAATTAAGAACCTGCCTCATCGGGCCACCAGCACAATAGGAATGGATTTCCCCTGGAAGTCCCCAGCTGAGAGTTGCCATGTGGAGGGCAGACAGTTGCCCACCCACCAGCCACAGCTCCTGCTCTGCCACAGGCCAGCTGGTGTCCCTGAGACAGTGGATGGGCTCTGTACCCTCCCTCCTGCCCTACCTACATTGTCCTTTATCTTCCAAGGCTCAGGGACCACATTTCCCCCTAACTTCTGTTCAGAGCTTGGTCTATGCAGACTCTACAGAGAGCGAGGAGAAAAAAGAAACCCAGAAAGTGATTCCTTCAGAGAAACAAACTGGATCTGAGCTCTTTTCACCTAAAATCTCCTCATTTGGGTGTTTGAACTGAGTGAGAAGGTTTGAGTGGGATGTAAATCTGGGCCAAAGCTGTGCAAGGACTATCCATCCACCACTCCATTCCTCTCCTGACTCCTTGCATGGGCCCCCAGTCTCTGGGGTTTTAAAACACTCCATAATACAAACACCAAATGTCTGAATTGTCCCAGCTCCTCAAATGTTGGAAAACACATTTTCTCAGGGTTATGTGAGGCAGGCAAGCAGCTTTCACTGAAATCTTTTATTCCTAGTATGAACCAGGAGGGAAGAAGGGAGTGAGAGGGAGTATACTTAGGATCTGAGAGTTTGGCTTTGCTGCAGTCTCTTTGTTGCAGCACTGGTTAGAGTTTCTTTCTCCTCTTTGAATAATTCATGTGGTGTAGCGAAGTGTTGGCTAGGCACAGCCAATATATTTGTCCTTGCAGAACAGTCCCCCATAGCAAGCATTTAGAACATACCTGGGTACCTCCAGATCTCAGCACTACCCACCCACATGCCTCTAGCCGGGCTTCTCTGGGTGTGTTTCTCTCTAGTTGGGTTGAACAGTGACTGATCTCACTGCCAGCTCAAGGACTGACCAGTAACCCTCCCTGCGGCACGACCCGCTGCTCTGGGAGCAGCTGCTCCTCCTCTTCCTCCTCCTCCTCCTCACGCTGCTCAGGCTTGCATCTGACCATCTCCAAAATGAGCAAAAGGAAGAAATTCCTCCTGGTTTCTCACTCCAGACCCCTAATCCTGGTTTACTGTTGGGGTGTGCGGACAGGCAAAGCGGCAAGGTCACCGTGATGGAAAGGCCCAATACAACCACGCGTTTGAATTAAAGCAGCCTCTCCAATTTTCACCAGGCACACAGAAAATGAGCCCCAGCAGGCCAACTGCCAGACACCAGAGGTATGTATGGGTTTGGGAATACGTACATGTGAAACTACATAGTGAAATTGTCTTCCATGTAAATAAACATGCATTTGCTGGCATTTGAGATAGTATCCTAAGTGCTCTCAGGGCAGCTGAACACCTGAAACCATGGAAGAAACTGGCTCCAAACTGGAAATGGTGCAAACTCCAGTGCAAAGAATTTACTTTGGAGGACTGGAACTCAGGGTGGAAAGTGGTATTCAAAACCCATACCTGCCAGCAGCTGTGGAAAAAAGGGTTTAGTCTTGCCCATCTTTCTGGTCTTCTGGTCCTGGTTTGGATAAGGAGAGCACAGAGCAGACACAAGAAAGGAGTTATGCTTAAAAGGTAGTGTTTTGTTCACATATTCACACATTCTCTAGTTGCATTTAGCACAGATGTCTGAAGTCTGTCCTCCATGCATTTGGGGCTGATTCAAGTGGCTCCCTCAGACATCTACCCTGGCTGGCCCTGGCAGGGCATGTTCCCCTCAAGGGTGTAGGGATCTCTCATTAGCAATACAATTTGCCTCACCATTAACAGAATTACACATTTCTCACAGCAGGTTTCCTCTCTCCCTCCTCTTTACCCTTTGCAATCCTTCACTGCCTGCACTTCTGCAGTGCTGCAGCAATAGCTCCTCTTGAAATTCATTGATCCTTTCTCCAAGGTCTAAAGAAAGTATGTTACTGACTCTTGCTTCTCTGCAGGGAGGCAGCTCGACAGGAGCAGTGCTGCTTCTGTTTCTTCCTCCTCAGGCTCACAGAGTAGCAAACTGCCTGCATTCCAAAATGCTGCTGCAGAGACTGTCACAGCAGCTTTGCAGAGCCCTGCTCCTGCTGGGGCACCATCCACAGGGGCACTACCCAATTCCCAAAAAGAATGCCCTGGATGAGGCCATGGCAATACCTATGGGACTAATGCCACTACACATTTCGGAGCATCAGCTGAGGAAGTCCTCTTTGATGAGACCTAACATGATAGCCCTTATAGATTCAGCTGTCATTGTAACTGCTTTTTTCTTTCCTGTTTTAACCTATGCCCTAATTTTCTTTTTCAGAAAGTATACCACATTGTGATTCCCCTTTTGCTATTTCAGATCTTCTTAAAACACAAGGTATTAATTTTAAGTGGGCTGTTTGCAAGCTGGAGGCTGAGTACAAGCCACACAGCATTTGCCTGCACTTGTAAGGAAATATTTTGCAAAATTAAAAACTATATGGCTCACATAGCTTGTAGATACTACTGAAACTACAGACTCCTATCCCTAGAGACCACTAGTAAGTGTATTAAAATCATGTTTTAGACCCAATACAGACCAAATACAGACCTAAACCAGCATGCAGACAGCCACTGCTGTGCGCTCATGTACCAACTCTACCTCAGGTGTTTGAGAGTAAAGAGAGCTGCAAGAAAATGTGAAACTGGTCAAGTGCACGTACAGGAGATGCGTTTTCCTAACAAGAGCTGTGCCTTGCAGATACAGGACTTGATTCAGAGTTGTAGCAACCCCTTAAGAAAACCAAGCTTGCAAATATAAGAACTAGCAATCAACATAACTTACATGGAACAGTAGTTTCTGCAGGTGCAAGTAAATGTACACCTGGATGCTATCTACTTTTTTACAGCTTTTTCTTTTGCTGAGAAGCCTTGAAATACCATCTTTATGCTGCTCCTACTGATGATTCCTCAACACAGTGCATGGGGTAAAGTCTTTGCCACATTTAAAAGGGAATTTTGCTGCTGTTTCAGTGCAGACTGGATGGCGTACACATTTCACATGCTGATTGTCCTGCAAGCAGCCACCTCTCCCAATGCTTGTAAAACATAAAATTTTGATCTTTTTACAAATAATTAATTATCACAGTAACTGACACCCTGATATTAATATCCTGAGAAAGTCAATTTAACCTTTTGGTGTCTCTGCTGAATTAACATAAAGATGCTTCACTTTGTGCTGAGTGATCAGCCTTAACAATAACCAAAGGCTGCTGGGCCCCTCCAGTGGAAATACACAAGAGGAATTTTGCCAATTTTTAATTAGTTTCTTTTCAGTTCAAGGCCACGTGATCACATCCCTGGTGCTTGTGAGATGATTGTTTGCATCACAGTTTGCTCTTGTTATTTGGAGGAAACTTCTTTTTTTTTTAAGCGAGATGACTTTGCCTTTTTAGCTCTTACCAAGAACTCAAAGGCAAGAAAATCCTGAGTGACCTCTCCTCCTAACTGAAGATTTCTTAAAATAAAATTGAATTAAAATGTTTTGATGTTTCAAAACTAAGCATCTTTGAAGGTTTTAAATGCCTCCATTTCTTGCAAATGGAGCAAAGTAACGAAGCAGAGATAATGAATATTGGCTTCATCTTCACATAGGTCTTAGGGTTGGCAGACTTTAATGTCTACAGCACTGTGAGTTTGACAGTGCTTTGCCCAAGAACAAGGCCTTGGTAAAAGTTGTCTGGTAGATTTCACTGAATCATGAAATCATTCTTTCAGGAAAAGACCTTTAAGGTCATCAAGTCCATCTGTTAACTCAGCACTGGCAAGCCCACCA